AATATATAAAGTAGAGCAAATACACCCCTCTCTGTACTTTAATTCTAAACACATACAGTATAACAGATTTTTTTTTAAGTGGAAGGCAAAGTGAGAATCTGTAGGTGAAACAAAAGTAACAAAGAATTTCACCAACCATAAGCAAGATAATATTCTTGGAAAATCCTAAGACTGTCTCATTCAAATTCCCTGGAAACTTAAACGTCTTAATACAGTTGAAGATGTCTTTAAAATCTTTTGCTTTTGGTGTTCAGACTCTCATTAAAATGTCTCAAATCTAAGTTCATAAAACTTGCAGATACCATGCATTTAAAGTACAAGTACTTTACATTTCCATTACTGTTAGTCTGACAGGTCTTTTCTTCCAATCAGTAGAAATTACTGGTAAATAAAAGTGGCATTTAATAAGAGTCAACTTTACAGTCAGAGATGCTTTCCTCTCCCTTGAGTCCAGGTAGACCGAGAAGAGCAGGGGCAAAGACAACAGGAAAGATATAGTAACACACATACACATACACACACACACACACACACATTTTTTTGAATGTCTCACGGGGACTCTGCATCAACTTACATTCATTTCCCTTAGACTTATCCTAACTTTAACCATAACCACTACTTTTCCTAACATCTAACCCTACCCGTCCCCATAATGTGAATAATACCGAGGGCACTCGCTCTCTCTCTCTCTCTCTCTCTCTCTCTCTCTCTCACACACACACACACGCACTTAGACACATGGGAATTGCATCATTTTTATGATCTCATCTGTGCACTGATACAGATTATTACCCACTGGGGTGCCCACAGATGAACACTTTGTATTGCAGTACTAGTAATGGATTTGACATGTTACAGATTAAGTGAACATGTTATTTCAACCTTGTATAAGAGGCCTCAGAATACATACTAAACAGGGTTACATTATAGTGTTGAATGCAACTGAGCGCTGTATTAGTTTTCAATCAAGGTCATGCTTTAGACACCTATTTAATTTGGAAGTATGGGGGTCTGCTCCTCTGTATCATATTCCTGTTTCTGACATCTAGGACTTCAGCCATGGACAGATAAAAGTGCTGCTTTCGTCTTATCTGAAAAGCACGTCAGTAAGAGTATTGGTGTTGCTGATGCAGTAAATACCTCTGCTATTCATCCATTCCCAGAGACCTTACTGTGTGTGCCCTTGATTTATGGATAGAAAGATGGCAGGTGTTTTTCCTGGAACTGATATAATGATGCTGTTTCAAGGTTGTCTTATGTAATTTACTTAAACATGAGCTCATCCTTTGCACCGAATAATGAAGGGGTTGATTGTTCCATTGCCTATTATATACATTTGTTCAGTTTTGAATTAAGTAGTTTTTGTTCATCAGCTTGCCTCGTCTTCATAATTCTAATGGAGCGATGCCGCCACCTGCTGGTCAGATAACATTATTACTATTTAACTTTTAATAGAGCACTTCATTATACAAAATTATCCTTTTATATTTTGACAGAATTTGAGAGACCTCCTTTATTGACATGACCAAAATGCATATCAATGTGTTGTTGTTTTATGTGTATATGCACTCATAAGTCCATGTAGGCACACGTGCCAGTCACCCTGGCCTTATTAATAGCCCTATCCCGCATCATTTGGGTGATCTTGATTATGTCTATTCATCTAGTTCTTGAACAGAGACTATTCTGGGATTTAGAATGCTGTATGGGCTGACTTCCAGATGATTTGGGGATGGGGGGATGCTGAACATACTGCATATACACAGCACACAGAAATAAACTTTGACTGTCCTGGTAACCTGATGTGTTTCAGAGAAACGAGAAACACGTGCCACCACAATGCTCACTGGCGTGCAGCTTAGGGAGAGGGCTTTATTGACATAGCTGGCAGTGAAACTGATGTATCTGCTAGTGGAGTGAAATTCCCTTTTGACATCTCACAAGGCCCTGCAAGCTTACAGTGAAGTAGGGCAGAAGTACAACATTTCATTTGCCTTTTTATTTATAAAATCAGACTGGAACAGTCCTCATAAAATGAGTCATTGTTTAACTTCTATGTAAATAAATGTAGTCCCAGCTGCTCCTTGATCGAAGACAGCTGTTTCTAAATAAGTCTTTCTGGTAGACATATATATTTTTTTATAGATGTCTGTTATTATTCTGCAGCTGAACTATTTTTGAGCACAAAAATGATTGATGTCTGTTCTGAGTGACCCAGAATGGTCTGTCCAGGTCAGATCAGTCTTAAACCCACTGATCCAGAGACTGAGCTGATGAAACTCTGTCTGGATCAAACAATAACCAGAAATGAAAAAGTATCTGGGGATAAGGGATGGATTCATGGAAACAATCCTGGCTACCAGCATGTGCAGATCAGCAATGGCATGTTGGGGTGTTTGGTGGCCGAGCCAAGGCACGTCTTCAGAGCCATCTGTGTGTGCAAGTCTTTTATCATGTGTCGGATGTCCCGTCTTTGTTCTTTCCTATCAAGAACGGGGACATGCTGGGGACAGTTAGCCTGTGTTCAGAGGCCAGAGGGGTTTGGCAGCGGGCTAAACTCTAACTAACACATCCTACTCACATGTTCATAATCATATACTCCACATCCTCAATTACATCCTTTATAGATTACTCTGACTTAAAACCTCTAAGATTTGCAAACAAATGAGCCCAACGAGAAACAGATATTTTGTCTCAAGTTGTTGAAAGTGGATTATCTCCTTTTTCATCCTTCATCTCATCTCTAATCCCTTTCCTATTCTGTTTTTTTTCCTACCCTGCAGGTATGAAGTGGAAAATGCGTTTTTCTTCAGTCTCAACCTGGCTGACTTCAACATCATTGACACTCTGGGGGTTGGCGGCTTTGGACGCGTTGAGCTGGTAGGGGACTGGTAGTCACAGCTGTCTAACAGACCGTTCTGGGTATTGTGATGCCTGACTTTTGTGTTTGGGTTTCTTCCTTTCCTTCTCATTGCAGGTTCAGCTCAAGAGTGACGAAAGCAAAACCTTCGCTATGAAGATCCTGAAAAAGCGGCACATTGTCGACACAAGACAACAAGAGCACATTCGTTCAGAGAAGCTCATCATGCAAGAGGCCCACTCGGACTTCATTGTTAGGTACGCCCCCTGAAAAGCGTCACTCAGATGCAATAGAAATATTATACTGCATATCCCACACATGTCACAGTGTCAGAAAGACCTGGCCTTGATTACCAGACTGTTTTCTGTGGAGCTCACAGGTTGTCTTATGTTAAAGCTTTCCTCCTACATGCATGTCAAGTATATTGGAAGCAATTTGCATTGTGGAGTTTGCATGTTCTCCCCGTGCTTGCGTGGGTTCTCTCCGGGTACTCCGGCTTCCTCCCACAGTCCAAAGACATGCAGCTTAGGTTGATTGGTGTCTCTAAATTGCCCATAGGAGTGAGTGAGTGCGTGTGTGTGGTTGTTCGTCTATGTGTTAGCCCTGTGATGGATTGGCGACCTGTCCAGGGTGTACCCTGCCTTCGCCCGATTGCCGGCTGGGATTGGCTCCCCCCCGTGATCCCGTTCAGGGACTAAGCGGTAGAAAATGAATGAATGCATGAATTTGCATTGTACCACTAGTACACGGCAGAATGAGTGTGAGTAGGAGTGTTTCTGTGTTTTACCTTGTGATGTTCTAGTCTGGTGACTTATACAAGGTGTTTTTATCTGCTTTCTTTTCTGTGTGTACTGGAATAAGATTCAACTTCTTGTGACCCTGAAAGAGAAAAAAATGGCACAAAGAATTCACATTTATTTATGTTTTTGCCACACTATCTAATTTATATAATGAATGTATTCCTG